CACTAACTGGTAACACTAACTGGTAAAAACAACTGGTAACAATACCTGGTTACTAACTGGTAACAGTAGCAGGTTGCTAACTGGGAACTGTAACTGGGAGCAGTAACTGGTTTACACTGGACACCAGCGGTGGAACATCGTCCATCTTGTTCTTGTAGATTTTTATCTCCAGATTGTTTCAGTCCTCATCAGTGTCATAGTTGGTTCTCACTGAGTCCAGAGTCCTGGTTCTGAGACTTCAGTGGGTCCAGCTTCAGCCCTGACACCCTTCTGGTGTTCTGATGTTCTGATAGATTGGTGTCCTGGTGTTCTGATGGCTGCAGCTCCAGTTTGAATGTTGATTCTAATTATTCTGAGTGTGAATGTTTATGCTGTAGAGGAGGATTCTTCATCTGTCACTCTTCATCTGTCATTTCATCCTCACTGACACACCTTCACACAACCCCTTACGTAGTGGGCACACAGGTAGAGGTTAGGCTCACCTGGTGGCCAGGTGCCAGACAGGTAGAGGTTAGGCTCACCTGGTGGGCAGGTGCCAGACAGGTAGAGGTTAGGCTCACCTGGTGGACACGTCAACATTCTTCAGTGCTTCTGATTCTCTAACATCTCCTCTCTGATTGGCTGATGGACAACTAACAAGCTCCGTCTCTTCAGTGCTGCTTTTCCAGAGGGAGGCGCCGCCACCTCCTTGTCTCCTCCTCTCCTTAGCTCCTCCCTTCGTGTGTCCTCTCCTTTTGTCCTTCTCTCCTCGTCTCTTCTCCTTCTCTCCTTGCGTCCTGTCCTCGTCTCCTCTCCTTCTCTCCTTGTCTCCTCTCCTCGTCCCCCTGTTAAACTCGCCCTGTCCTCTGCAGGACGAGGAGGTTCTCGAGGAGCTCCCAGAGGAGGAGGAGGAGGAGGAGGAGGACGAGACTCCCGTGAGGACTTCTACGACCAGCCAGGAGGAGGTGCGGTCAGAGATTCAGCAGATGCCAGCCGGCCAATCAGGGGGCTGCTGGCTGTGCTGCAGCCAATCAGATGGCAGGAAAATGTTTCCGAACTAATCTAAACAAACAAAAGTGAACTGAAATGCAAGAAGCAGCTTTAAAAAGTTCATCTGCCGTTTATTGTAGTAAGAGTCCAACCGCTGATGTTTATGACACATTTCTGATCCAGTCCCGTTCATGACGAGCCTGAATGTAAGATGATTGGCCCATTGATTCATCCACTGTTGATTAATGGGCTAAGCTAAGACTAGCGACACTGTGGCTGCACCAGTACTCAGCTAATTCACATGAACTAATCTGACTTGAGCTTCTGTAAACTGAACCTCCAGAAGCCTCCGTAAACCTGTAATCTGCCTCCGTTAGCTAGACGTCCGTAATCGGGACCTCCTGTAAGAAAACGTGTGAACTAAATCTTATATGGGATCTTCTGTAATCGGACCATTTGTGAGCTAAACTTCCAACAGCAAAGCCTCCGTAAACTGAACCTCTGAGAGTGAAACATCCAAAAGGAAAATCTCCCAAAAATATACGTCTGCAGTATAAATTTACAAAAGTGAACGCTGTCCTTGACCTAAACATGCAAAGCTAACCCTGTGGTAGCTAGCCCTCCGGTAGCTAACCCTGTGGTAGCTAACCCTGTGGTAGCTAGCCCT